AAGAAGGAAGAAGAATGGGAAAGGAAGGAGGAAGAGGAGGAGGAGGAAAAGGAAGAAGGAAAAAAGGAGAAAGAAGGAAAAGGAAGGTAGAGGAGAAGAAGAGAAAAGGGAAGAAAGAAGGAGAAGGGAAAAAAGAGGAGAAATAAGGAAGAAGAGTAGTAGCATAGCAACCTGAAGAAGTAGGTTAAGGCTGAGAGGGACCAGCCCAAAGTCACCCACAAAGACGGAACTTGAATCTGAGTTTCCCATTGACCGTCTAACCCTCAATTGCAACACCAGGTTGGATGTCCACCTGGTTCCTTACCCTGGAGGCCACCACAAGAGCTCTCTTCCCCGTAGGACACACCACAAAGAGCCACTCCTGGTCCAGATCTGGTGGGACATCAATTAGCCACTCAGAGAGCATCAGCTGCAGAGAAGAGGAAGCAGACCACATCAACCTCCTTGAGAAACCCACCAAAGATCCAGAACGAGAAGAGGAACCGTCCGACTCCAAATCAAGAAACACCAAAGTTGAAGGTCAGGATTTGAGCGCTTGCTGTGAATGCCCAAGGTCTTCAGTTCTCCCCAGTCTCCAAGGAGATCTGAAATCCCCCCAACCGGATGAGCCAATGGCACACTCTACAACCAATTCTCATTTCCCATGACATCTACAGGGTCCAGGATTCGGCCAACCCAACTGCTGAGTCAACATCCCTCAATCAACTTGAGCCAACATCGTGAGTCAACTCAAAAGTTGGATATTGAAGAGACCGCCAGAAGGTAGAGACCTGCCCCAAACTCCTTTTTGGACTGTCATCTTCAGGACCCATAGAAGTGCACTTTCAACACCTGCTCCTCTCTTCTTCCAAAGTTTAAACTAGCTTCCACCTCCCTAATATGAGATAAGCTTCCAAAGCTCAATTTTTAAATGGATCCTACTGTGAATTAAAACCCCATCCTGGCTTGTGCTGGGAAGTTCAAAGCCCCTTGGTGACAGTTGTTTTCTTTGGGTGCTTTTTTTCAAGAACTTTCTAGTTTTTCCTTGAAAATGTTTCATTTCTCATCCACGAAACATCTTCCTTCAGAACTGAAGAGGCTTCTTGGACAAGAAGCAAAACCTCTTCAAGGAAAAACCAGAACATCTTCAAAAAAAGCACCTTTGAGACAACCATGACCTGGAGGGCTGACCACAGACATGGTTTTCTTTGTAACTCTTAGAGGTCTTTTTCCTCGTCTTGTTTTTCACCTTGCAGAATATAAAACCTAGTGAATGAATTATTAAGAAGCAAGAAGGTGAAATGAATAAGTAGGAGAAAGAGTCAGCCTTGGGCAGCCTCTGTAAAAAAAAAAAAGAGAGAGAGAGAGAGAATGTAAAGGAAGCTACAAGTGCAAACAGAGGGACCTTGGATTTAATGAGAAGGTTTAGTTGCCTGCTTGATAATTTTCTGGGGAGTGATAAGGATGACCTTGCTGAGTAACTGAAGCCATCCAAATAATTAACAATACTGTAACGAAGGTGACAGGACCTGCGAAAATGGCCAAACTGACTTGTTTGATCAGAGAAACAACAATATCTAAATTTATCAGTGACTCGAAGCCCTGGAGGGACTTTATACAAAAAGGAAAAAAAAAAGAACTGGTGATTTATATTTTTGATGAGAAGGCAGGATAGGTTATAGAAAGCAGAGTCTTGATTCTTTCTTTAGAGAAAGCCGTTAAAATATAATTGTACTTATAACTGCTGTGAAGACAACAGAAGCCAATTCTTTACATATTTTTTAAATATTTTCTTCTTTCTCCTTTTATTTTCTTTCCTTTTTCCTTTTCTGTGCCTTTAATGTTTTCTTTTATTTCTCCTTTTCTTTCTTGTTCTACTTTAGTTTGTCTTACTTCTTACTACTGTTGTTAACGCTTTGAATAAAACACGTATATATGGATAAAACATTAACAATAGGAAATCAATTCTCTGGGAATTTTTTTCTGAAACGGCAGATCCTTTTTAGGATGAGGAATAGTTTTGTTGAGAAGTTTGATTACACATCTGATCATTAGAAATAAAACAGGAAGGAAAATTATCAAGAATTTTGGGTCTTTTTTGTTCTTCTGTGAACTATTTTTGAAAAAGGGATTCTGTAACCCTGGCAGCTAATCATTTCTTGGTGTTTTTTTTTAGGATTTAGAGTATCTGAAAACCATTTAAAAGTCTCTAGGTAGGAAGGAATTTAGAATGGAAAAAACTCCCATGATTTTCACAAGCTGAGTATTATTTATTTTTATGACTGCCTTTATATACACACAGAAAATGTTTCAACCAATGTTTCTTTTTTCCCTGAAGGATCTTATCATTATTTTAAAGTTTGAAGAATAACGTAACACAAAGTTGCCAAAGTATTCTGTAAGGAGGTATGGAAAATAATGGACGGTTTTCCTTTTTTAAAAAAGTAACCGTTTTATTGTATCAAACCAAAGATTAAAAATAACCTGGATGTGAAAATAGGATTACATCCAAAAATTAAGACTTTCCACGTTTTACTCTAATGTAATTTATTTTATTTCCTGTTTCTTTGTTTTTTTTAATTTTTAATTTTTAAAAAAGATTCAATGCACTTGTTACTTTAAAGGGAAGAAAAAACTGTAACAACTAGAAACAACTTTGTTAAGTTTTTAGAACTCTTTTAACTGGGCCACCCTGCCTGCTGTTTCATACCTCTATCAGCTTAATATTTCGAGGCCGTTTCGATTTACTGAATGAGGCCGATGTAAAAACCCAACGTCTCTTTCCTAAGTTTTCTAAGGAAGCTGGACTTTTTGGAGGTGCCACTGACTTTGACGAAAATCCATCAACGAGAGAAATATTGAAAACACACATCTTTTGCACCAACCTGCTACTTAGATCCTTAGTCAAAGGGCTGGACCACTAACAAAGAAAATGAGAATGATTAAATAAACTGACCCCCGTTTTCTGCTGCTTACCTGGTTGGCATATCGCTTGGGTAGCTTCTTCACAATCTCTAGCTCCATTTCTTCATGATCTCCATCAGCCTTGGATGTTTCTCCCTCCTCCTCCTTCTCCTTCTCCTCCTCCTCCTCCTCCTCTGTGTAGGTCCAATCGTTCTCGGCCAGCCTTCTGGCATGGTTTATATAGTCCAGCCGCTTACTTGACAGACAGAAAGAAAAAAAAAACTAAAATAAAGTTTAACCCTAAGCGGGAAGAAACACCTCAAAAGGACAGTAACAAGGTGAGCTCAACAATTTAGAAGTTGCCTTGAGAAGAAAAATGGGCCTAGTTTTTTTGAAGGTAGGAAGTCTTTGCTTAAGGATGGATCGCTTAAAGACTGTTATGATGGATCTCCAAAAAGGGAGAAAGGTGGATGGAGAGAAGGAAGGAAGGAAGGAAGGAGGAAAGAGAGAGGGAAGGAAAATGGAGGGAGGATAGTGAGGAGGAAGGATGGAAGGAAAGAAGGAGAGAAAGGAGGAAAGAGAGAGGGAAGGAAAATGGAGGGAGGATAGTGAGGTGAAAAGAATGGAGGGAGGGAGAGAGAGAAGATAAAGGGGGAAAGAGGGAGAGAAGGAAAATGGAGGGAGGATAGTGAGGAGGAAAGAAGGAAGGAAGGAGAGGAAAGAGGGAGGGAAGGGAAATTGAGGGAGGATAGGAAAGGAAGGAAGGAAATTCACAACCATGCGTTTATTGCTATAGTTGCTTTTAATGTGAGCTGCCATTTTTAAATTTTTGTTTAAACCATTTTTAATGGTTTTGTTTAAACCATTTAAAAATAGCTACACTTTTTAAAAGGAAAGAAATAACAATTCAACGGGGCGCTCTCCGTTCCTAACCATGCAGGAAATAAGCCTATGACTCTCCGGAGGAGCCATTCAAAGGCCCCCTCCTCACTTCCCACAATGGGGCAGGGGGACTTGCTAGCTTTAGTGCCCGTGGGTGGGGGGCGGGGGGGGCCCTCTCTTACGTCTTCTGGAATTCCAGCAGCCGCCGGCGTCGCTCGCCCTGTTCCAGGGAGCTGTACTTGGGCTTGTACTGGGCCAGGCGTGGATGGGGAGCTGCGGGGCTGTTCAGGTCCTGCGAGACGACAAAGTTGCAGGCCAGCGTCTGGCTCAGCTCCTCCATTCTTCCTGTGGGTCAGCCTGGAGGGAGGAAGGAGGACGGAGAGGGTCAGCTTTGCTCTGTTCTGACCCAGGCTTCGTCAAACGCAATTCAACACAAACTTGCTTTAAAAGCAAAATCTTATTTTATTGCAACGCTGAGAATTGGTTTCATTCCCAGCCAGAACTAATATTAAAACACTTCCCCGAGATAAGCACCCACCTTTCAGTTCTGTGAAGTGCTGCCCAAAACAGAAGTATCAAATGAACTAGAAAACCAATCGAACGACTTTGCTTCCTGCAAAGGTTTTGTCATCTTGGCCTGACTTTTATCCCTTATGGGAGGGGCAATCACCTCCCAGCCTTATTCCCGAGTCGCCCCTTTTCTCTCAGCTGCTCTCGCCTTCTAGCAGCTCTGTGCATGTGCACACTGGGAACAGGCCCCCCTGTTTCCTCTTCCTCGTTTCTGCCAGACTCCAGAGGCTCCAAAGGCAGCACCCCACTCCCAGATGGTCCTGGCCCCATCTCTGCATCGAACGCAGGACCCTCGTCCGAGTCCTCTCTGGACTCCCTGACTGGTCCCCTTGCTTCCTCACTGCCATCTGCATCGGCTACCGGTGAACCACAACAGCTCGGGAGGGGGGACGGGGCCAAAGAGAGGGCACTTAGACATATCATCCACTCCCCAAATAAGGGCACGGGAGCATGTAATGCAGCCGGGGTCTCCAACCTCGGCCATTTTAAGACTTGTGGACTCCAACTCCCAGAATCCACCAGCCAGCCAGCCAGCCATGCTTTCTGGAGAATTCTGGGTGTTGAAGTTCAAGCCCCTTAAAAGTTGCCGAGGTCGGAGACCCCCTGGCAACCCGTGATAATCTTCTACTTACAACCATCTGTTGAGTGGCCATTCCAAGGGACCCGGACACCAAAGGAAGTGGCTCCTCGGACTTACAACCGTCACATAAACTCCCCAGGAGGCAAAATGTTGGTTGCTAGGCAACCGGGATGGATTTACATCAGTTTGCAGCATCTCAGGCATCATCCGCCACTTCCCTAGCCAGCTTCCGGATGAGCAAAGTCAATCGGGAGGAAGCCAAGTTCATTTAATGACCATGCTGTTCACTTAACGACTGCAATGATTTGCTCAACAGCCACTGCTAAGCAGGTCATTAAAAAAACCAGCCACCCCATCCTGGAGGGATGCTGGAGGCCGCCACCAGCTTGACTCACCTCCCCCAAGTGGGCTGGTGCTGCAACACCCATCATCCCCAGCCAGGATGGGAACGGTAGTCCCGACCTCTCCTTGCAGGGGTAGGAAGAACAGAGAGGATTCCAAAGTGGGGGGGAGGAGACTGTCCTCCCCTCACAGAGCTGGGCTTGAATGCACTTTGCACATGCCCAGGGGACTGCTTTCTTTTTTTTTTAAATGAACTTTCTTTAAAAAAAAATTTTTTTAAAAATTTTTAAATACATTTTCATTCTCGGGAACGAGGACCAGGGAGGGAAAGAAGGGCGGATGGACAGAGAAAAGACCCCGCTCGGAGGTCGCCCCCGCCCCTGTGCGCTTACCCAACCCAGCCTCGCTCGCCGCCAGGCGGGATTCGATCCCGCGAACTCTCCTTCCAGAGAGCGCGACCAACGGAAGCAAGCTCCGCCCCGCCCCTTCCGCGATTGCGTCATTCGCAGGCAGCGCGAGGGTCCTCCCTGGCCTCCGGAAGGGCCTTCCGAAGGGCCGCTCTGCTCTTCCTCTTCGCCTTCTCTCTCTTTCTCTCTCTCTCTCTCTCTCTCTCTCTCTCTCTCTCTTTCTTTCTCCTTCCGCTCGGCACCGGCAAGTGGCGCATGCGCGCAGCTTTAAATGGACCATCCAGCTGGCTTCGCTGCAAGCCGTGCTTGGAGGCGTGCGCGAATGAAGAGGCGGAGCTAGACTAGAGTTCCCCCCCCCCCTTCACCCAGCACCGTCGCTCTCTTGGTTGTGGAGAGGGGGGGGCGCGTATCCACCTCGAAATGTGGTTTGCAGTCCAAGCTTTCCATTTTTTGACTAGCGTTTGTGCAACTTGGCTGCTTTAAGAGAGGTGGACTTCAACTCCCAGAATTCCCCGGCCAGCTTTGTTTTGCTTCCTGGTTTGGCTTGGTTTGCTGTGGAATTGTGGGAGTTGAAGTCCATCCCTCTTAAAGCAACCAAGTTGCAGAAAGATTGATGTAGAGCACGGGGTCTTCAAACATGGCAGCTTTAGGACTTGTGGACTTCAACTCCCAGAATTCCTCCTCCAGTCAGGTTAGCTCAGGAATGCTGGGAGTTTTGAAGTCCACCAGTCTTAAACTTGCCAAGTTTGAAGACCTTGGATGTAGAGGCTTTATGAATGGAAGGCATAAAGGACTCTTGGTTTTCCAACAGTGGTGATCATTTTTGGAGTTGCAACCTTTGCACGTCATCCAGATTTTATTGGAAACTGACCGGGTTGGGATGGCCAGCGTCAATCCCCAGAAGAAGGATTGGGATGGACAGCCAAGGTGTGGACCCTGGCACCTGGCTCAGGCCAGCATAGGGCAGGTGCAATTTTCACCCCCTTGGACGTTTTTTTGATGGAACCGGACTCCGCCATGTGGAACCAGGCTTGCAAAGAGAGAAGTTGTGTAGCTGGCTGGTTGGCTTGGAGACATCTGGTGACCCAATAGGTAGCCTCTCTGATGGTCACCCCAACTCAAAGAGCACCCCTGAAACTCTTTGCTCGCAAGTCATTGTCATACCCAATAGAAGAGCATTAGGTGTAGCTCAGGGTTGAACTGTGGGGTTCTCTGACCTTGGATGTTTGCTTGCAGACGTTTCGTGACCCAACTAGAGAACATCATCAATGCTACTAGGGAATGGGGTATAAGGAGGAGGAGGAAGAAAAAGAGGAAAAGGAGGAAGAGAAGGAAGAAGAAGAAGAAGAAGAAGAAGAAGAAGAAGAAGAAGAAGAAGAAGAAGAAGAAGAAGAAGAGGAGGAGGAGGAGGAGGAGGAGGAGGAGGAGGAGGAGGAGGAGGAAGAGGAGGAGGAGGAGGAGGAGGAGGAGGAGGAGGAGGAGGAGAAGAAGAAGAAGAACAACAACTGTGGTGTCCTCTGAGCTTGGATGTTTGCTTGCAGACGTTTCATGACCCAACTAGAGAACATCATCAATGCTAGGAGGGAGTGGAGTTTGCAGAATGAAGGAGAAACGAGGAAGTGGATGATTGGGGGGGCTCGATACACCCTGAACTAGTTGGGCGATGAAAGGTGCGCAAGCAAACTAAGCTCAGAGAGCCCTGAGTACTCCACAATATTTCAAATAATTGCAATTCAACCGCAACCCTCGGCTTTGCAACTTTCCTATTGCTTCCCCCACCCTCCACCCTCCGCGCGCGCAATCCAAACAGTCCGGTCCAGCTTTCTGCGCGGAGAGAGAAAGAGAGGAGGGGGGAAAAACAAGGAGGACTGGAAGCGCCGGTGGCCTCCCCGGTTCCCGGCGGCTCAGGCTTAAGGGGGCCGGCTGGCCGTGCCAGGGCCGAGCCGGAGCGTCAAGGCGGCGCCCTCCGCGGCTGCCAATAGAGGGCGGCCGTAGGTTGGCCCGCCCGCCTGCTGCGTCCGCGGGTCGCCTTGCGCCCGGCGCCTTTGGCAAAAGTTCGCAGCTGCAGCAGCTGCGCCCGTGCGTCATGGAACAGTCCGGCGGCTGAGCTGCGCCCAGGAGCGCGGAGGCAGCCGAACCTTGTGGTCTCGCTACCCTACGGAAGAAGGAGAAGGTGGAGGAGGAGGAGGGGTACCCATTTGCGCCCCCCTCCCCGCCCCCCGAGAGACCCGGCTGCTGCTGCTGCTGCTGGCGCACGGAGGACCCCCTTGCCAGCCCCGCGGAGAGGCGGACGGGCATTGCGCCGCCCCAGCGAGGTGACGGCGGCGCTTGTTTGCTTGCTTGCATCGGAGCAGCGCAGCCGTGCGTCCCGTTTGGCTGCGCTCGAGGGGACCCGGATCGTGTTAGGTGCCTCGGCCGGCCGGCGCCACCAGAAGAGGGTTTCTGCCAGCGCCCTGTCCCTTGTCCCCGGGGCTGTCGCTCGTCCCTCCCGGAAGCGCCTGCGGTGGAACCGGTTGGACTGCCTGCCCGGCCACCCGTCGGCCCCGCGCGCCTCTCCAAAAAGGGGACTCCGCTGCCGCCACCCTCCGTCCCCTTTGTCTCCCCGCCAGTCCTGCAAACTTTCTTCCCGACTTCTCCAAGCTCTGCGGTGGATGGATGTCCTTTCTTCCTCTCCTGGCCTTCCACCCTCCTCCTCCTCCTCCTCCTCTTCCTCGCGCAATCGGCTTTCCCGGAGCTTTGCTGCCAAGTCAAGCGAGCGCACGGAAATCCAGGCTCCCAGGGCAACGACCCGCGTTCCTTCCTTTTTCTTCCTGACTTTTCTCTCTCTCTCTCTCCTAAATCTACCCTGATGGCGATCTGTTTTGAATGCTGCCCTGGTTTCTGAGCCGCTGGAAATCGACTAGGGAGAGCCAGAGCGAACAACAAAAGAGACCTCTTCCAAGCGCCCCGAGGGATTTTACGCTTGGCTGGTAGATCTGAATCGCTTTGCAGAAAGCTCTCCGGTGGGTTGGCAGGAGGAGAAGGACTCCTTGGTGGGTGACACGCTCTGCTTGCTTTGGGGTGCCTCCTTCCTCGCCCCAAAGTTTCAGATCCTGCAAAGAGGTAAAAACTTTCAATTTAGGGGGGCTGTTTTTCCTTCTCCCCCCCCACTTCCTCTCTTCCTTTTTTTTTTGTGTGTGGCATGGACAAAAAAACAAAACAAAAGGGTCGTGGTGGAGAGACAACAACAGATTCACGTGGACTTTGTTGTGTGTGTGGACTGAGGTGTGACCTCTGCACTGAGAGGAGTGATTTGTAGCTTGTTTTTCCTCCACCCTTTTGGGAGTCTGGTGGGTTTCCAATCCAGTCCAACTGGGATTATTATTCAGCCTTGCAAAACATTTCTGGTTTGTAACAACTGGAGCCTTTTCTTCCTGGTTTTTTTTTCCTCTTCCAGAGAGACTTGGGTTGAAAGCTTGAGAAATCCTGAATTTCTCTTTATTGTTAAAAACAAAACCAAAAAAAGACCCACAGGTTTTCTTAATTGTAGAGCAACCAGATTTAGAAGGTGCAGACCAAACATCTTCAGATCAAGATGCTTAATTCGGACCTGTAGTTTCAAGTCTTCCAAAAGAGACCCGAGAGATGGAGGGATAACCCATGGGCCGCTTTGATACGGCTACAGTCATGAGCCTTTTCTGGTTTTCCCAGTCCTGGCCTGAGGTTTTTGACCCCGAGGAGAATGCTGTTTGCTTTGCCCCATTCTTAACCTCCCTCCGCTGATTGGGGTAGCAACTGCCCGTCTTAAACCTCCTTCTCTGGAAGCACCAGGTGGTGTTTTTTCTTTGGACGTAGTCTTCTTCTGCTCTTCGTTTGAGTCTGCTTTGCAGGCCTTGCTAGCTTCCTGGGGACGGCCCCCTTTTCAACAGCACCCGGAGGGGGTCGGGGGTGGGGTGGGGCAGAGACCTGGCCGCCTCACCGGACACCCCC